TTTTCTTGTGTGTAAATGATTGAAGTAAGACTACTACAAGAAGTATTGTAATGGTAATAATGATGCGCTACGTGCTGTGTATCCTCGCTCTCCTGCTCTCATGTGCGTGTGTGCACGTCCTCGCTGAAGAAGTGCCTGCCGCCGATCTTTCCGACCAAGTCCCTGATACGGAGAGTGAGACAAAGATTCTTCTTCAAGGTACTCCTGTTGCTAAGAATTGCACTAATGGTACTAATCTTTCTGAAGATACTCAGCAATGTCCGGAAGAGGCCGAAGCTCCTCCTGTTACAGTACCTGAAGCACCAAAAGAAGTTGTTCCTGAGAAAGAAGTACCGCCTCCTCCTGCTAAAAAACCTGAAGTTCCTCCGGCTAAGGTACCTGAGGTTCCTAAAGCGTCTGTAGCTGAGGAAAGCATTCAGGATGCTCTTCATCAAGAAAAAGTTTCTGTTCCATCTGGTCCTCGTGAAGAGGATGGTCGTCCAGGTCAAGATGGTTCTGCTGGTGCTTCTGGTACTGCTTCTAATCAAACACCTGCCAAATCTACTGAACCTAGAACGGATCTCACTGAGGCTGATCCTGCACGTGAAGTTCAAACTGAAGGGGGCGGCAACAATGCAGCAGATGAAAGTGTTGCTACCCACGAAAATAAAGCAGCACAATCTTCTCCTTCTTCCAACAATTCGGCCACAGGGAGTGACGGAGAAACTGCTGCTGGAAATGATGCTACAACGACTGAGAATGGCAGTAAACCTGCAGAGAGTGAATCAACAAATACCCAAGAAGGTGCTACAGATAATACAGATACCACCACCACCACCACCACCACAACAACAACAACAACAACAACAACAACAACAACACTTCCTCCTGAACTTACAAACAACAAGAAGGGTGATGCAGACAGCAGCAGCAGTATCAGCAGTTCTGTGTGGGTGCGTGTACCACTACTGATTGTGGTTACACTGGCCTGTATTCTTGTGTGCTGATTGTAAAGGTGGTGGTGTGGTGTGACTCAGGTCATCCTTTGTTTTCTTTTTCTTTTTTCTTTTGCATGTATCTCTACAGTCTAACTCATCTTCCACTTGTTGGGAGTTTTATTCTTCTTTTTTTTTGTTTTCTAATGTTAATGTGTTTTGTGTGTTTTTGCTCTCTGTGTTTATCCTATAATAATTATTATTGCTACTACTCCATTGTGTGTGTGTGTGTTCTTGGAGACTCTCTCTGTGTGCACCTGGGCTTGCACTGCGATGATAATGATGATGATGAACTGTTTTTTGCAGTGGGAAGAAAGGAAATAATAATAACAGATGAATTTATATTTATCATTGCGTATATATACACATATATAGACTTACACCCATAGTTGGTGTATATTTCTGTGTTTACTGGGTACGATGGGCTAATGGTTAATATCTTTTCCTTTGCTTTTTATTTGCTGGGATTGTGTGTGCCTTTTGTTGTATTTTGGTGATTTTTTTTCTGCAGAAAAAAATAAGAATAACTGATACACCTTTAAATTCATAATTGCGTATTACCTCAAACATCCCGAATGATCTGTGTTATTTATGTGTTTGGTGTATCCGTTAGTCTTGATCTTAATTACATTTTTTTCTTGCGTTTGTTTCATCACTGTGTTTGTGGTGAGCGTTTATTGAACTCTTTTAGTTTTACGCTTGTGTCGCTGTTTTGTGTGACTTATACTTATTTTATGGTCTTCATGGTTTGTGCCTCTCTGTCTCTTTAGTATTGGGTGCTTGTTTTTATTTTATTTTTTCTTTTTTTTCTGTAGTTAAGTGACCTAAAACAGGAAAAACAGATCTTGAGGTGGTGACGATGAATCGTGTGCTTTTTTTTCTTCTCTTTGTGCTGAGCGTTGCTTCTGTGGGTGCCGTGGCTGGTGTGGAGCCATCAGAACGGGCTGATCCCAGAGAACGTGGTCCTGAAGAGCCTGCTGCTCTTGGTGAAGGTCCTGGTAGAGTTCTCGGTGCTGCGGGTCAGGCTCTTGCTCGTGGTGCTGCGGAGGCAAAGCCAGGATTGGAAGCCCCAAAAGGCCATGATAATGATCATGTCGTAAGTGTACCTGGTGGTGGCGGTAGTATTCTTCAAAAGGAGCAGAAAGGGCAAAACGTGGATTTGCAGGGCCACAAGGTGGAGGAGGAGCAAGAAATGAACGTGAAAAAAGGGACTACTAGACGTCAAGAAGTAAAAGTGGTGGCAGGCAGTGATCATGAAGAAGCACAAAGACCGGGTAATCACGCACAACTGTCTGATTCTGAACTCACTTCACCCCCGACTGTAACTTCAGAAGATGTCCCACCTGCACCACGTCCTGTAGATCAGGCAAGTGGTGGTGGCCAAGCCCAGGATAACAGTGACCAGAGAGTTACTGTTCAAGAAGATGGAACAGAAAACAACAATGGTGGACAGAATGAGGGAAATCAAGATAAATCACAATCCCCTTCTTCTAATCAGCCCAGTACCGGTGATTCTGAGACTCAGGGTAACCATTCTCCACAGGAACAGAAGCCCACCACACAGGACTCTCACCCACACGGCGGTACGGGTGATGCCACTAACACAGAAACCATAAACTCTAACTCTCCCAATGCATCCAGTAATAATGAGGACTCAACCACCACCACCACTACAACAACAACAACAACACTTCCTCCTGAACTCACAAACAACAAGAAGGGTGATGCAGACAGCAGCAGCAGTATCAGCAGTTCTGTGTGGGTGCGTGTACCACTACTGATTGTGGTTACACTGGCCT